TTCAATTTTTTTTATTTACATATTTTGTTACAGTTTTTATTTCATTTATTTTTCAATTTTTCGGTTCTTCAGTGTGAAAATTTTTGATTTTTTTTTTTTCAATTTTTCCATTTTACAAGTTTTAGATTTTGCAGTTTCACGATTTCTCAATTTTGATGAATTTTTTCGATTTTTCGATTTGTCGGTGTTCTGATTTTCAAATTTTTCTTTTTTCAGTGTGAAAATTTTTGTTTTTTGGAGATTTTTCATTTTTTCCATTTGTAATTTTTTGGTTTTCAATTTTTCGATTTTTTGGTCTTCAGTTTTTTTTTCTATATCATTTTTGATTTCTTTAAATTTTCGATTTGCAAATTTTGGTTTCGGATTTTCTTTTCTTAATTTTTACAGTTTTTCGATTTTCCAATGTTCCGATTTTGTGATTTTTTGTTTACTCATTTACAACTTTTTGTTTCTTCAATTTTACAAAATAAATCTCTTCGAGTTTCGATTTTTATATTTTTTAGTTTTCGAATTTTTCAACTTTTGGAAGTTTCAGTTTTTAGATTTTGCAATTTCGCGAGTTTTCATTCAATTTTTAATTTGTCAATTTTTAAATTTTTCATTTCTTCAATTTTTGGTTCTTCAGTGTTGTGATTTTCTAATTTTTCTTTTTTTTCAGTGTGAAAGTTTTTGATTTTTGGATTTAAAAAAAAAATCGATTTGTAATTTTTCGGTTTTCAATTTTTCCATTTTTCAACTTTTAGATTTTTCAGTTTCACGATTTTTTTATTTTTTATTTAATTTTTTCAATTTTTCGGTGAAATTTTTTGGTTTTTGGATTTTTTTCATTTTTTCGTTTCTTCAGTTTTTGATTCCTAATTTTTCTAATTTTCATTTTAAAACAATTATCCAATAATAATTATAATTTAAAACATTTTTCACTTTTTCAATTTTACTATTTTGAATTTTTTTATTTTTCATTTATTCGATTTTCGTTTTTTCTCTTTAATTCTTTCAATTTCTCGATATATACTTTGCAAATTTTCGATTCGATTCGTTTTTTCTTCTTTCCAGGACTTCGACACATTAATTTTTTTCGATTTTTAGTTCTCGATATTTTAGTTTTTCAATATTTCGATGTTTGGTTTCTTCAATTCTTCGATTTGCGATTTTTCCATTCTTCATTTTTTCGATTTGCAGTTTTTCGTTTGGATTTTTTATTTTCTTAATTTTTTCAATTTTTCGGTTTTTAAACTTTCAGATTTTTTAATTTTTTTGTTGCTTGAATTTTTGATTTCCCAATTTTTCGATTCTATAATTCTCTATTTATTCAAATTTTCGATTTGTAATTTTTCGTTTCGGTTTTTTATTTTTCTTATTTTTAGAATTTTTCGAATTTTCAATGTTATAATTTTATAATTTTTGTTTTTCCAATTTTAATTTTTTCATTTTTCGTTTCTTCATTTGTTCGATTTGGAATTTTGAATATTTCATATTTTTTTTATTTCTCCAATTGACGATGTACCTACATTTGCATTTTAAAATTTTTCAGTTTTTCGATTTTCCAAATTTTGGATGTTTCAGTTTTTAGATGTCGCAATTTTTCAGTTTGCTATTTCATAAGTTTTCAATTTTGAATTTTTCAATTTCTTGATTTGCAATTTTTCATTTCGGTTTTTATTTTCTTTATTTTTCAGTTATTCGATGTTTCAACGGTTCGATTTTATAATTTTTTGTTTTTTCAATTAAAATTTTTCATTTTTCGGTTCTTCAGTTTTTCTATTTGCGATTTTTCAATTTTTATTGTTCTTGTTTCTTCAATTGTTAGATTTTGCAATTTTTGATTCTTTAATCATTCATTTATTCAAATTTTCAATTTGTAATTTTTGGTTTGGGTTTTTTATTTTTCTTATTTTTACAATTTTTCGATTTTTGTTTTTTTTTTGGTTTTGTTTCGATTTTTTATTTTATTTATTTCTTAAATTTTTCGGTTTCTAATGTGTTTGATTTTGCAAATCTTCTTTTTTTCACAAATTTTTCGATTTTTCAAGTTTTAGGTTTTTCAGTTGTACAATTTTTCGATTTTCACATTTTTCTTTTTTCACTGTAAAATTTTTTGATTTTTGAATTTTTTTCATTTTTTCGATTTGTAATTTTTTGGTTTTCAATTTTTCGATTTTTCAACTTTTATATATTTTTTCGTTTCTTCAGTTCTTCGAGTTGCAATTTTTCCATTCCTCATTTTTTCGATTTTGCAATTTTACGTTTTTTCAGATTTTCGATTTTTCACTTTTTCAAATCAAAAAATGGGAAAATTGCTAAACTAAAACTGAAAAATCAAAAATGAAAAAAAGGAAAAAGATAAAGTGAAAACTTCAAAAAATCTAAAAATTGGATCAAGGGGTTGAAAAATTGAAGAAACGAAAAATTCAAAAATCGAAAGAATAAAAAAATTGAGAAGTTTAAAAATCGAAAAAGTGCAAATTCGGAAAAACTTGGTATTGGAAAATTGAAATATTGAAAATTAAAGAAATCGAAAAATTGAGAAATCCAAAAACGAAGAATATGAAAAGTAAAAATCAAGAACTTGAAAAATTGGAGAAACGAAAAACTGAAAAATAAAAAAACGAAAAAGTATAAAATGAAAATTTTGAAAAGTCTAAAAATTGGAAACTAAAAACTTGAAACGTTGAAATATCGAAAAATTAAAAATTGAGAAACTTAAAAATCGAAAAATTACTAAAATGGAAAAAACGAAACATTGTAAAATCCAAATAATGACAAAATAATGGCAATTAAAGAAATCGGAAAATTGCTAAATTGGAAAATTTAAAAGTTGAAGAAACGAAAAATTCAAAAATCGAAAGAATAAAAATCTGAAAAACGAAATATTCTAAAATCGAAATATTGAAAATTAAAGATTTCGGAAAATTGAGTAATTGAGAAATCCATAAATTGCAAAACTGTAAATTTAAGAAAATTGGAAAAAATCGATGAATGAAAATTTCAAAAATTGAATAAACGAAAAATTGTGATATCAATTTGAGAAAATGATCTTTAAAAAATCGGGTAAATGAAAAATAAAAATCAAAAACTTGAAAAATTAACGAAACGAAAAAAAGAAAAATAAAAACCGCAAAAGTATAAAATGAAAATTTTGAAAAATCTAAAAATTGGAAATCAAAAACATGAAAAATCGAAAAACGAAATATTGTAAAATCGAAATAATGACAATTAAAGAAATCAAAGATCGAAAATTTGAAGAATTGAAGAACTGGAAAATTATAAAATCGAAAAATTTAAGGAACGAAAAATTTTGAACATTTCGAAATCGAGAAATTGAAAAATTGAAAAAATTAAAGAAATGAAAAAACGAAAAATTGTTAAATCAAAAAATGAGTCCAGATATTTCGAAAAATTGTAAAATTTGATTTTGCGAATTTATTTTTTGTGATAAAACCTCATAAGTTAATAAAAATATGTACACCACAAATGCACAAGTATCTTTTTTTGTGAAAATAAAAACAATTTACAATTGTGAATTTTGGAAATGACGTCATCAGATTCTTGGTGGGGATAATTAGCCAATTTTGGTTTGGTTTATTAGGCATAATAGATATACAAAATTTGACAGCAATCGGTCCAGTAGTTTCGAAGTTTATCTGTCTAATTAAAGTCCGAACAGAAACGGTCATGAAAGTCGGGAACTAAAAAATCCCATCACCGTTGTATACAAACCCAGCATACTCCGCACGCTTCGCGCGTCCACGCGCCACTCCGCCGCCCCCCGCTCCCGTTTTACGTTATGACCCAATACCTCCACGTAAACACGGGTTAATTATAATTACGCCATCTGGCTATTTTCAATAACCAGGAAACCGCCGCCATAAACTCCAAGAGGTGATTTCGGTGCGGTAAATGTCACATTCTTCCGCATAGGTTGGTATCGATTGTTCTGGCTGGCGCATTTCTGGGTTAAGGATGCTTAAACTGATCTCTTTGTGGGAATAAAACGCATGGGCGACAATAAGAAAACAAGTTTATTTTTGCCGGAGTGGGGCCGAGAGGTTACGTAAATAAATCATTTTATTTCCGTTTAGCCAACAGCTGACGGAAGTCAAACCTTCCAAGTGTGCGGCAGGCTTATGTCAGCACACTTTCTAACAAGGAGGTCGATTTTAGCATATTAGAGGTGTTAGATTTCGACAGCGCTTCCGGGGAAGTGCAAGGCCGAAGTCGGAAAAATAATTGACACTTCCGCAAGAAGAAGGATGTCCACGTGGTATGCTAATGGAGTGGTAATTTATCGGGCGATTAAGGGGGCCTTGGAGATCAAGGAGATTCCTGCTGGGTTGGAGAGAGGGACTCCGATTTCGAGATTTGTTTACAAATATGAGAAGGTTTCACGCTACAGATTGCAGAACAATAGCGAGGTTGGAGCAGGATTTTACAAGATTGGGTTACATAACTATTTTAAATGTAGGTGTGGAGATGATGACATGTCGTGTATTGTTGGTTGCCTACAATTTAAATGTTTTAATTTTCATTTTTGGTGATTTAGCGCCATCTGTCGATTTTAGTTTGACAGACAGGGTTTGCGGCTTCGCTATTTTGTTCTTGTACCACTTCGCGTATTCACAGCTTTGGACTAATTGTAAAGTCGTTCGCCGCCGCCCAGACGCCCGCCATCGATCACTGCCCACACATAACGACTCCAACCACCTGGGAATAAATCCCTTATGTGTAAATAAATGTCGGAATAATCCCGCAATTCGATCCTGCGGCCCGTCCGGATAATCAAAGCAGGAATAAATTTCCTCGGAGGATCAAATCGAGTATCGGAAAAGTAAAGCGAGTTTTCTTGCAGGCAGTAGAGCGAAATTAAAAAAGTTGCGATCCGAATGAGAGGTTAATTGGGGATTTTTCGGGCGAAATTTCGTTAATTAAATTCGGGCCTGTGGGTTCTGGGTTTTAATTTGTCGAGGGTTTGGGGACCGGTTTGATTTTTGTCTCTGTTGCAGGACCTCGGTGCTGTTTGTTTCCATCACGTTCATTGTCCTGATGATTATTTCGTTGGCCTGGTTGGTGTTCTACTACGTGCAGAGGTTCAGGTACATCCACGCGAAGGACCGGCTTTCGGTAAGTGACATGGAGGCTTGAGATTGGGGGAATTCATGAAAATACTCGATTTTTACGGCGGGTTTAGTTTTATTTTGAAGAAGTGGCTGTAGAAAGTTCGTGCACAGACTTGTGGCGCCGGGGAATGACGATGGGAAAAGTGGGAAGGAAATAAGAGTTGAGAGCAGAAATTACAGTTTGGGGGATTTTTCTTACATGTGTTTATATTTACAACTTTTGAATTAAATTGAATAATTAAAAAATTGAGCTCTTGGCAAACTTACCAAAAAATCCATTGTGACTTTTTTTGTTAGGTTGGCAACATATTTAAAATTTTATGGTGGCCAACCTGATTGTCCAATTGACATTGAAAAAGTGTTTATCTGAACGTTTGGTAATGGTAACTAGCAACAAAACATTTAAAAGAAAACTGTAATTTTTAATATATTTCGTCAAAATTTACGAACGAAAATTTTAAAATAATTTTGTACGCAATTTTACATATTTTCATAATATGGAACTACAAAAGTGGCAATTTTGTCAATTACAGGTTCACTCCCAATTTTTGAATTTTTTTTTTCAGTGTGAAAGTTTTTGATTTTTCAACTATTAGATTTTTCACTTTTTGTTTAATTTTTTCAATTTTTCGGTGTTCTGATTTCCAAATTTTTCTTTTTTCAGTTGATTTTTGTACTATTTTCATATTTTCGATTTGTAAATTTTTGGTTTTCAATTTTTCAACTTTTATATATTTTTTCGTTTTTTCACTTTTTGGTTTGCAATTTTTCTAATTTTCATTTTAAAACAATTATCCAATAATAATTATAATTTAAAACACTTTTCAATTTTGCGGCTTTCGAATTTTCTATTTTTCATTTATTCGATTTTTCGTTTTTTTCTCTTTTTAATTTTTAAATTTCTCGATATATACTTTACAAATTTTCGATTCGATTCGTTTTTTCTTCTTTCCAGTTTTTCGATCGTTAATTTTTTTCGATTTTTGGTTTTTCAATTATTTAGTTTTTCAATATTTCGATTTTTAGTTTCTTCAGTTCTTCGATTTGCAATTTTTCCCGGTCTTCATTTTTTCGATTTTGTAATTTTTCAAATCAAGAAATGGGAAAATTGCTAAACTGTAAAATTGAAAAATCAAAAATAAAAAAAAGTGAAAACTTTGAATATCTAAAAGTTGGAAATCAAGAAGTTGAAAAATTCAAAAATCGAAAGAATAACAAAAATTGAAAGATTTAAAAATCAAAAAAGTGCTGAAAAACTTAATATTTTAGATTCGAAATATTGAAAATTAGAGAAACTGGAAAATTTGGGAATTGAAAAATCAAAAATGGAAAATTTGAAAAATTGAATAAATCGAATTGTGATATAATCGAGAAAATAATGTTTAAAAAATCGAGAATATGGAAAATTAAAAAATTAAGAACATGAAAAATTGAAGAAACGAAAAACTAAAAATTGGAAATTAAAAACTTGAAGTTGAAAAATCGAAAAATTAAAAATTGAAAAATTACCAAAATGGAAAAAACGAAACATTGTAAAATCGAAAAAATGACAAAATTTAAAGAAATCGGAAAATCGCTAAATTCGAAAATTTAGAAATTAGAAATCAAGAAATTGAAAAATTGAAGAAACGAAAAATTCAAAAATCGAAAGAATAAAAAAATTGAAAAACAAAATGTTTTAAAATTGAAATATTGAAAATCAAAGAATACTGAAAATCGAACAATTCAGAAATCCAAAAATTGCAAAATTGAAAAATTTAAAAATTAGAAAAACTCAAAAGAATGAAAATTTTAAAAATGGAATAAACGAAGAATTGTGATATAAATTTGAGACAGTGATCTTTAAAAGATCGGGTAAATGAAAAATAAAAATCAAGAACTTGAAAAATTGAAGAAACAAAAAACTGAAAAATAAAAAAACGAAAAAGTAAAATGAAAATTTTGAAAAATCTAAAAATTGGAAATTATAAACTTGAAAGTTGAAAAATCGAAAAATTAAAAATTAAGAAACTTAAAAATCGAAAAACTACTAAAATGGAAAACACGAAACATTGTAAAATCGCAATAATGACAAAATAAAGAAATCGGAAAATTGCTAAATTAAAAAATTCAGAAATTGGAAATCAAGAAATCAGAAATTGAAGAAACGAAAATTTCAAAAATCGAAAGAATAAAAAAATTGAGAAACTTAAAAATCGAAAAAATTTAAAAATTAGAAAAAAATCAAAGAATGAAAATTTCAAAAATGAATAAACGAAAAATTGTTATATAAATTTGAGAAAGTGATCTTTAAAAAATCGGGTAAATGAAAAATAGAAATCAAGAACTTGAAAAATTAACGAAACGAAAAAAAGAAAAGTAAAAACTGCAAAAGTATAAAATGAAAATTTTGAAAAATTTAAAAATTGGAAATCAAAAACATGAAAAATAAGAAGTCGAAAGAATAAACAAATTTGAAAATTTAAAAATTGGAAAATCGGGGAATTGAAGAATCAAAGATGGAAAATTTGAAAAATTGAATAAATATGAAAAATAAAAATCAATAACTAGAAAAATTGAAGAAACGAAAAACTGAAAAATGAAGTACTAAAAAGGTTGGCAACATATTTAAAATTTTATGGTGGCTTACCTGATTGTCAAATTGACATTTATGACACCGAGTCAGTAGCTGCGCCCATCACAAAACTAAAAACTAAACTTTAAAAAATGGAAACACTAAAATATCGAAAAATTGATACATTCAGAAATCGAAAAGTTAAAAATTTTTAAAAATCGAAATGTCAAAAATTCAAAATTCTAAAAATTGATATTAAAAAAAATAAAAGCCGGAATTTTTTTTCAGTTGTACGTTTCTTCTAGTTTTCATTTTTAAAATTTTCAGTTTTCCGTTTTTCCAAATTTTGGATGTTTCAATTTTTGGATTTGGCAACTTTTCGATTTGCAGTTTTTCATTTCATTTTTTTGTTTTTTCAATTTTTCGTTTCTCCAGTTTTTCGATTTGCGATTTTTCAATTTTTCATTTTTCTTGTTTCTTGAATTTTTGATTCTGCAATTTTTAGACTCTTTCATGAATCAAATTTTCGTTTTTTCGTTTCGGTTTTTTATTTTTTTTTTAATTTTTACAATTTTTCGTTTCTCATTTGTTCAATTTGCAATCTTTGGATGTTTTAGTTTTTAGATTTTGCCATTTTTCGATTTGCAGTTTCCCGAGTTTTCATTTAATCTTTAAATATTTCATTTCTTCAATTTTTCAACTTGGAGTTTTATGTTTCGGTTTTTTACTTTTTTTTTAATTTTTCGGTTCTTCAGTATTCTGAGATTTTTTCTTTCAGTGTGAAATTTTTTGATTTTTGTATTTTTTTAAATTTCTCGGTGTATAATTTTTCGGTTTTCAATTTTTATCGATTTTTCAACTTTTAAATTTTTTTTTCGTTTTTTCAATTTTAGATTTTTCAGTTTCTCGATTTTTCAATTTTTCGTTTCTTCAGTGTTTGAATTGCAATTTTTCTAGTTTTCATTTTAAAACAATTATCTAATAATATTTATAATTTTAAACATTTATCAATTTTTCAATTTTACTGTTTTACGATTTTTCAACTTTTAGATTTTTTTTTCATTTTGTCGTTTCGTTTTTTCTTTTTCTTTTTAAATCTCTCGATTTTCAGATTTTCAACCTTTCATTTTTTCCGTTTCTTCATTTCTTCGATTTGCAATTTTTCGATTCTTCTTTTTTTTGATTTTCCATTTTTTTAAATGAAAAAACGAAAAAGTATAAAGTGAAAACTCTAGAAATTGAAGAAGTTGAAAAATTGAAGAAAGGAAACATTCAAAAATCGAAAGAATTAAAAAAAATGAGAAATTTAAAAATAGAAAAAGTGCAACATCGGAAAATAAAGAAAATGAAAAACCGAGGAATTGTTATATAAAATCGAGAAAATGATCTTTAAGAAATTGAGAAGATGAAAAATGAAAATTAAGAACTTGAAAAATTGATAACTCCAGAAATCGAAAAGTTGAAAAATTTTAAAAATTAAAATGCCAAAAATCCAAAATTCTAACAATTGATGTATTAAAAAAATTAAAAGCCGGAAATTTTAATTTTCTTCAATTTTACGTTCCTTTGGTTTTTCAATTTTTTTGTTTCTTTAATTTTTTGTATCTTCTAGTTTTCATTTTTAAAATTTTCAGTTTTCCGTTTTTCCAAATTTTGGATGTTTCAATTTTTGGATTTGGCAACTTTTCGATTTGCAGTTTTTCATTTCGGTTTTTTATTTTCTTTATTTTTTCAGTTATTCGATTTTTCAACGTTTCGACTTCATAGGTCTTTGATTTTTCAATTTTAATTTCTTCAGTTTCTCGATTTTTCAATTTTTCGTTTTTCTTGTTTCCTAAATTTTCGAATTTGCAATTTTTCGTTTCAGTTTTTATTTTTTTTATTTTTACAATTTTTTGTTCCTCATTTGTTCTCTTTGGATGTTTTAGTTTTTAGATTTTGCAATTTTTCGATTTGCAGTTTCTCGAGTTTATTTAATTTTTAAATATTTCATTTCTTCAATTTTTCAATTTGGAATTTTGTTTCGTTTTTTTTCGTTTCTTCATTTCTTCGATTTGCAATTTTTCGATTCTTCATTTTTTCGATTTTTCACTTTTTTAAATGAAAAAACGGGAAAATTGCTAAACTGTAAAATTGAGAAATCAAAATTGAAAAAACGAAAAAGTATAAAGTGAAAACTCTAGAATTGGGAAATCCAGAAGTTCAAAAATTGAAGAAAGGAAAAATTCAAAAATCGAAAGAATAGAAAAAATGAGAAACTTAAAAACAGAAAAAGTTCAAAATCGGAAAATCGAATAATTGAGAAATTCAAAAATTCCAAAAGTTTTAAAATTGGAAAATAGGGGAATTGAAAAGTCAAAGATTGAACTTTTGAAAAATTGAATAAACGAGAAATGCTAAAATCGAAAGAAACATAAAAAAATTAAAGGAAATGAAAAACCGAGCAATTGTCATATAAAATCGAGAAAATGATCTTTAAAAAATTGAGGATATGAAAAAATGAAAATCAAGAACTGAAAAATTGATAACTCCGAAACCAAAAAGTTGAAAAATTTTAAAAATTGAAATGTCAAAAATCCAAAATTTTAATTTTTTTCAGTTTTACGTTTCTTTAGTTTTTCAATTTTTTCGTTTCTTTAATTTTTTTATATTTTCTAGTTTTCATTTTTAAAATTTTCAGTTTTCCATTTTTCCAAATTTTGGATGTTTCAATTTTTGGATTTGGCAACTCTTCGATTTGCAGTTTTTCATTTCGGTTTTTTATTTTCTTTGTTTTTTCAGTTATTCGATTTTTCAACGTTTGGATTTCATAATTTTTTGTTTTTTCGATTTTTGGTTTCAGCAGTTCTAATATTTGCGATTTATCAATTTTTCATTTTTCTTGTTTCTTAAATTTTTGATTCTACAATATTTCGAATCTTTAATCTTCCATTTATTCAAATTTTTGGTTTTTAATTTGTACAATTTTTCGAATTTTCAGTGTTATAATTTTGATTTTTGTATTTCCAATTTTTAAATTTTTCAATTTTACGTTTCCTCAGTTTTCAATTTGTAATTGTTCAGTTTTTCATATTTTTTTGTTGTTTTTTTTTCAATTTCACTTCCAGTTCTCATTTTTAAAATTTTCAGTTTTCCGTTTTTTCCAACTAATGCACTGGCAATTTTTTGATTTGCAGTTTTTCATTTCGGTTCTTTATTTTCTTAATTTTTTCACTTATTCGATTTTTCAACGTTTCGATTTTATAATTTTTTGATTTTTCAATTTTAATTTCTTCAGTTTTTCGATTTTTAAATTTTTCGTTTTTCTTGTTTCCTGAATTTTTGATTCTGCAATTTTTCGATTCTTTAATCTTCATTTATTCAAATTTTCGATTTCTCGTTTCGGTTTTTTTTTTCAATTTTTCAGTTCTTCAGTGTTCTGACTTTCCAGGTTTTTTTTCAGTGTGAAATTTTTTGATTTTTGTATTTTTTTCAGTTTCTCGATTCATAATTTTTCGTATTTTCAATTTTTATCGATTTTTCAACTTTTAAATTTTTTTTCGTTTCTTCAGTGTTTGAATTGTAATTTTTCTAGTTTTCATTTTAAAATTGGAAAATCGGGGAATTGAAAAATCAAAGATTGAAAATATGAAAAATTGATAAACGAGAAATTATAAAATCGAAAGAAACATAAAAAAATAAGGGAAATGAAAAACCGAGGAATTGTCATATCAAATCGAGGAAATGATCTTTAAAAAATTGAGAGTATGAAAAATGAAAATCAAGAACTTGAAAAATTGATAACTCCAGAAATCGAAAAGTTGAAAAATTGAAAAATCGAAAAATGTAAAATTTATGTGAAATATAAAAGTAGAAAAATTGAAAAATCGAAAAACTAAAGAAATTAATAAAACGAGAAGTCGAGGAATCGAAAAGGTTACAATAAATTTTTGAACACAATTTTACGTATTTTCACAATATGGAAATTAAAAAATTGCATTTTTAAATATTTTTTTTTTTAATTTCTTAAATTAGGGGTTCAAAAATCAAAAGCGTATTTTCAGGTATTTGGAAAAACTTACAAATTGTACTTTAAATACCGAGTGACTCTTAGTGTTTGTGATTTTTGTTCTCTGGTTGCCAACATATTTAAAATTTTATGGTGACACCTGATTGTCAAATTGAAATGTGACTTCACTTCAGTAGCCACCCCACATTGTTTTTTTTTTTTTGGCACGCTCATGTCAAAATTGACAACTGTTGACATTGCTGCCAAGAATTCAGCATCGCCAACTCAAAATTTGTGTGACTTTGAGACCACCACCTGTTGATTCAAGTTGGTAGCGCTGTAAAATTCCCATTATAATTAAAATGATTCAAGATAGTACGAATAAGTATAATGACAGCGTAATTATCGTCATTTGCCACATCGTATTAAAACAAGATTAAACATAGTGAAGTTCCCATTTATTCCAAAACTACATCATTACCTAGTGTCGTTTCAAGGTAAATTGCCGCGTTGATCGATCTTCAGAATGCCTAAACAGACATTAATTTCAATGTAGCGCTTTATCAATGCATCAAATATTTAAAACCGCGCTCGTTTCAATTGGAAATCAGAATCTTGAGGATCCAGAGACTTTATAGTCGTTTCATTGTATTTTTAGTTTGTGTGGTCGTAAACTTGAGTCGACGATGAGTTCGAATCAGCCCGGCTTTTCTCAGACAAAGACGAACGCAGTAAATACGTGCAGTCTAGAGGCGATAAATCATACGTAATGCATAATTGTGCATTAGCCTCAAGGATTCAAGGAAATGTTGTTAGCGTGGGTGTCGCTTCCAAATTAAAATAAAAGCCGGAATTACGCAGCCACCGTTTTAAAAATTGTTGGATTTTTTGCAGCGGAGGCTCGGAAACGCCGCAAAGAAAGCCCTCTCTAAAATCCCGACCAAAAACATCAAATCCGAGGACAAAGTAAGTTATCTTCCGTAATCCAATCCGCACTCAGTATCCAATTTCAGGAAGTTCAAGGAGACGGCGAATGCTGCGCCATTTGCATTGAACCGTACAAAATATGTGATGTTTTACGCATACTACCTTGCGGGTAAGTGCTATTTACGGTGAATCGGTGCCGCTTAGTCAGAATGGTGGTTACAGGCACGAGTTCCACAAGAGCTGCATCGACCCTTGGTTACTCGAACACCGCACATGTCCCATGTGCAAGATGGACATCTTGAAGCATTATGGATTTGTGGTCAGTGTTTCCATATACCCTCCCACCAGCTATACCTACTAGCGATAGTAGATATAGTCATTTCTGTGATAGCACATTCTGCCTTTCTCCTTGTAGCTACTTTGTTTCCAAAAATGCACTTTCAGGTGGAGGTAATTGCTAGATTATTTATTAGTTTTAGGCGAGTTTTTGTTGACACTTCATTTCATGCATGTGACGATCGAGATGTATTATCACAGAGTCGCTGCTTTGCTTCTCACGGCATCATCACATTCAAAACGCACACTCTGAGATAATTCGGGCGAATAACCTACTTATTTCGGTTTGTTGTGCAGTTCTCGGGCAGCCAAGAAAGCATCCTGCAGATGGAAGTAGAAGAAATCGTAGTTTTAGAGTCAGCGGAGAGTCGTTCAACTAGTCCGAGACGAGGCGGAGGGATCAGTCCATTGCCTGAGATACGGGCCGTCGTCATCGGCGACCGTCAGGTACAAGACAAACATTCTATTATTAGCTGCAGGAGTGACAACAAAGGCGCAAGGTTAACCGGACCTTGCACGGAAAACTCAAACAAAGACGATTCGAGATACGAGCCGAGATTCAGCGCGATATCGAACCGGCTTTGGAAAGAAAGGGTTCGAGGCATTAAATCGGAAAATTGGGTTTGGAAATGGAGTTTCCACACTTTAACGGTTATGACCCGCGATATCAGTTTTTGACGGGCTAAATTGGCTTTTGGAAAAACAAATTTAATTTTAATAGTGAATATGTCCTTTTTGAGAGACTTGAAAAGTTGGAAGATGTGTTAGGAAATGTCACAAATAACATTTTTCGTGATTTAGGTACGCTTGAGTGTATCTTGATGACCCAGAATGCCTAAAACTCGTTCGTATGCTTTTACTACGAAAATTTTATGAGAAATCTAATGTCACTGGTCTATTTGAAATCGAGATTATTTAGATAAACGTGAGTGTGTTGGCGACCCAGAATGCCCAAAATTAGTGTTTGGAAATGTTTGTGATTTTTTTGTCGGGTTGGCAACATGTTTCAAGTTTTATGATGGCATACCTGATTGTCAAATTGAAGTTACTAGCTGTCAAAATTGTACCGTGAGCTGCCAATAAAAATGTCTGAGCAAATTTTTGAAAATATGAAACTGTAAAAATTGTCAAAAATGGCATTGTCAAGAGTAAAAATTGACGCTGTGAATCGTATTCTAGCATTCATTAAACTAAATCGTAATTCTTCAACTGTGACGTTCCATATTTTCAAAAGTTGGATGCAGGAATTTTTTAACCATTTTTTTCGAGTTCTGCAGAGCCTCTTACCATCTAGCAAATGCGTCATTTTTTCATCACCCTGTATATTTAAAGTAGATAACCAATGGGAAAAAATGCTTTTCGAAATGTCGATAAATCCAGAAATCGAAACATTCTCAAAATGCAAATGTTGAAAAAATTTGAAAAATCGAAGACGAAAAATTTTAAAAATCAAAAACCAAAATGTCGAGAAATCGAAATATTAAGAAAATTAAAAAATGAGATTGAAAAATTGTAAAATGTAAAATCTAGAATTTCGAAAAATTGAAAAATCAAAAAAAAATGAGAAACAGAAAAATTGAGAAATTGGAAAACCCCGAAAAATCAAGAAATCAAACACTCGAAAATTCAACATGTCGAAAAATCGAAAAATTCCAAAACTGAAATATGTATTGCAAATTAGGTGAGGCCATAAAACGGAAAATTGAAAAATCCCAAAACTGAAACGAAAAATTGGAAAATTGAAAAAAAAAAATGGAGATAAGAAGAAATCGAAAAGTCGAGAAATCGTGAAAAGGGAAAATTGAGAAATCGAAAAATTGAAATATCGAAACATTGAAAAGCTGGTAAATCGAAAAAGCGAGAAATCGAAATAAAAAAATTTAAAAATCTGGAAAATCGAATAATCGAAACGTCGAAATTTTAATAAATCGAGAAGTCGAAAAATTGTAAAATCGAAAAATCAAAAATTTTAACATTCGAAAAAATTAAAAACCGCAAAATTTGAATCCGAGAAGTTGTGAAATCGAATGATCGACAAAAATTGAAAAGTCGAGAAAACGAAAAATTAAAATGTCGGAAAATTGAAAAATCTAAAATTTAAAAAAATGGGAAAACTGAAAAATCGAGAACTCGAAAATTTAACAAATAGAAAAATCGAAAAATCCCAAAAGTGAAATATGTACTGAAAATTTGGTGAGGCCATAAAACGAAAAATTGAAAAATCCCAAAACAACAAAAAATTGGAAAATTGAAAAAAAAAAATCGAGATAAGAAGAAATCGAAAAGTCGAGAAATCGTGAAAAGGGAAAATTGAGAAATCGAAAAATTGAAATATCGAAACATTGAAAAACTGGTAAATCGAAAAAGCGAGAAATCGAAATCAAAAAATTAAAAAATTTGGAAAATCGAATAATCGAAACGTCGAAATTTTAATAAATCGAGAAGTCGAAAAATTGTAAAATCGAAAAATCAAAAATTTTTAAATTCGAAAAAATTCAAAACCGCAAAATTTGAATCCGAGAAGTTGTGAAATCGACAAAAATTGAAAAGTCGAGAAAACGAAAAATTAAAATGTCGGAAAATTGAAAAATCTAAAATTTAAAAAATCGAAAACTGAAAAATCGAGAACTCGAAAATTTAACAAATTGAAAAATCCCAAAACTGAAACGAAAAATTGAAAAAACAAATCCGAAAAATTGGAGAATTGAAAAACAAAAACTTAAAAAATCCAGATATCAAAAATCGAAATATGTATCGAAAAGCCGAGAAATCGAGAAAATTAAAAATTGAGAAATTGAAAAATCCTGAAACTGAAATGTGTCCAAAAATTGAAATATTGAGACACTGAAAAATTGGTAAATCGAAAAACCGAAAAATTTGTATCTGAAAAGTCGTAAAATTGAAAAATCTCGAAACCGTAGATAACCAATGGGAAAAAATGCTTTTCGAAATGTCGATAAATCCAGAAATCAAAAAATTTTTAAAATCGGAAATTCAAAAAATATATAATCGAAAAATTGAAAAACCAAAAAGTTGAAAAATCCATAAATCGAAACATTATCAAAATGCAAATTTTGAAAAAATTTGAAAAATCGAAGACGAAAAATTTTAAAAATCAAAACCAAAATGTCGAGAAATCGAAATATTAAGAAAATTAAAAATACGGAAATCGAAAAATTGAAAAAGCGTAAAATGAAAAATCTAGAATTTCGAAAAATTGAAAAATCAAAAAAAAAATGTGTTTACGACGCAAGTCATATAAGCAAACAACAATATAAGGAAGATGGACAACGGACTCACCCTGATTGCAACGATCTTCCTCGACGATTTCTCTTGATTGAAGGCACCTGGACCTTTTGTAGATACGAAGAAAAGGCGCTGGGGCCTCTTGCAACAACGAAAATGAAACAACAAACAACAATAACAACGGGCCGCCACGAGATGTTCTCACTTCGACGGTTAGCGAACCACAATGAAAATTCGTTACAAATATTTTTAAATTTTCGGTTTTCTTGTGTGGGTGGGGATTATCGGCGGGTGGTAGTTAAGGGTAGGCAATAAGGGGGTGGACAGGAATTGCTGCTTGCCTATCTTTCGCAACCATAAACATATGTACGAAACAAAATGAGAAATTGGAAAACCCCGAAAAATCAAGAAATCAAACACTCGAAAATTCAACAAGTCGAAAAATCGAAAAATTCCAAAACTGAAATATGTATTGAAAATTTGGTGAGGCCATAAAACGGAAAATTGAAAAATCCCAAAACTGAAACGAAAAATTGGAAAATTGAAAAAAAATCGAGATAAGAAATCGAAAAGTCGAGAAATCGTGAAAAGGGAAAATTGAGAAATCGAAAAATTGAAATATCGAAACATTGAAAAGCTGGTAAATCGAAAAAGCGAGAAATCGAAATAAAAAAATTTAAAAATCTGGAAAATCGAATAATCGAAACGTCGAAATTTTAATAAATCGAGAAGTCGAAAAATTGTAAAATCGAAAAATCAAAAATTTTAACATTCGAAAAAATTAAAAACCGCAAAATTTTAATCCGAGAAGTTGTGAAATCGAATGATCGATAAAAATTGAAAAGTCGAGAAAACGAAAAATTAAAATGTCGGAAAATTGAAAAATCTAAAATTTAAAAAAATGGGAAAACTGAAAAATCGAGAACTCGAAATTTAACAGATTGAAAAATTGAAAAATCCCAAAACTGAAACGAAAAATTGAAAAAACAAATCCGAAAAATTGGAGAATTGAAAAACAAAAACTTAAAAAATCCAGATATCAAAAAATCGAAATATGTATCGAAAAGCCGAGAAATCGAGAAAAGTGAAAATTGAGAAATTGAAAAATCCTGAAACTGAAATGTCGAAAAATTGAAATATCGAGACATTGAAAAACTGGTAAATCGAAAAACCGCAAAATTTCAATCCGAAAAGTCGTAAAATTGAAAAATCTAGAAACCGAAGGATTAAAAAATTGAAAAATTTGAAAATTTAAAGAATCAAAAAATTGAACAATCGAGAACTCGAAAATTTAACAAATCGAAAAATTGAAAACTGAAACGAAAAATTGGAGAATTTAAAAACAAAAAATCGAAAAATCGGAACATCACAAACGCGAGAAATCGAGAAATAGGAAAGTCAAAAAATCGAGAAATCGGAATCTGAAGAATCGAAAAATTGAAGAATCAAAAAATCGAAAGTTGGAAAATTCGAAAAATTGGAAAATTGAAAAAAAAAAAATTGAGATATGAAGAAATCGAAATATTGAAAAGTCGAGAAATCTAGAAAAGGAAAAATTGAGAAATTGAAATATCGAAACATTGAAAAATTGGTAAATCGAAAAACCGAGAAATCGAAACATCAAGAAATAAAAAATTTAAAAACTGGGAAATTGAACAATCGAATAATCGAAACGTCGAAATTTTGATAAATCAGGAAGTCCAATATTGTAAAATCAAAAACACAAAATTTCAAAATTGGAAAAAATTAAAAACAGAAAAATGTGAATCCGAGAAATCGTAAAATCGAAAGATCAAAAAATTGAAAAATCTAAAATTCAAATTCGAAAAATTAAGAAATAGAAAAATCGAAGAATTGAAAAATCGAGAAAACGAAAAATTCAAATGTCGGAAATTGAAAAATCGAGAAATCGAGAACTCGAAAATTTAACAAATCGAAAAGTTGAATAATTTCAAAACTGAAATATTGAAAAATTGATGAGTCGATAAATCGAAAAACTGAAAAATACCAAAACTGAAACGAAAAATTGGAGAATTTAAAAATAAAAAATCGAAAAATTGTGATATCGAGAAATGGGAAAATAAAAAGTCGAGAAATCGAAAAATCGTAAAACTGAAAGATCGAAAAATTGAGAAATTGTAATATGCATAAAAAAATAGAGAAATTGAAAATCTGAAAAATCGAGAAATTGAAGAACCGAAAAATCAAAGAATAAAAATTGAAAACTCGAAAATCTAAAGTTTAAAAACATCAAAAAATCGAAAATTCTAACATTCAAAAAATCGAAATGTTAAAAAAAATAAAAAATGGAAAAATTGAAAAACTGGTAAATCGAAAAATCGAGAAATAAAAAAAATCAAAACATCAAAAAATAAAAAAATTGGGAAATTAAACAATCGAATAATCGAAACGTCGAAATTTTGATCAATCGGGAAGTCGAAAAATTCTAAAATCGAAAAATCAAAAATTTCAAAATTCGAAAAAATTAAAAACCGAAAAATTTGAATCTGAGCAGTGGTAAAATTCAAAGATCGAGAAATCGAAAGATCAAAAAATTGTAAAATCGAGAAATCGAAAGATTAAAAATTTGAAAATATAAAGAATCGAAAAATTGAGAAATCGAGAACTCGAAAATTTAACAAATCGAGAAATCGAAAATCGAAATCTGAAGAATCGAAAAATTGAAGAATCAAAAAATCGAAAATCTCATATCCAAAATATCGCAAATATTGAGAAATCGAAAGTTGAAAATTCGAAAATCTAAAATTTAAAAACATCAAAAAATGGAAAAATCTGCCATTTAAACATTCGAAAAATTGAAAAATAAAAAAAAACGAGAAGTCGAAAAATTGAGAAATCGGAAAATCTCGAAACTGAAATTACGAAAAATTAAAAAATCGAAAAATTGAAACAGGGAAAACCATGAAATCGAAAAATCGAAACCTCAAGAAATCTAAACATGAAAATATCGAGAAATTAAGAAAATTGAACAATCGAATAATCGAAACGTCGAAATCTAATAATTAAAACTTTTAAAATTCGTAAAAATTGAAACCGAAAAATATGAAAAAATGAAAAATCTAAGTATTATAATTCGGAAAATCACGAAATAGAAAAAGAATCGAAAAAGTGAACATTTTAAATCGAAAAATCTAAATTTAAAAAATCGAAAAATTCAAACATTTTAAGTAGAAAAATTTTAAATTTAATAAATAGAAAAATCGGAAAATTGAAACATTGCGAAATCGGGAAATCGAAAATATAAAAAATCGAGAAATCGAAGAATCGGAATCTGAAGAATCAGAAAATTGAAAAATCGTAAAACGAAAAGAACGAAAAATTGAGAAATTGAAAATCTGAAAAATTGAGAAATTTAAGGACCAAAAAATTGGGAAGACTCAAAACTGAAAAATCTAAAAATTTAAGAATCAAAAAGTTAAAAATTCGAAAAACTGAAAAATCCAGGAAACGAAAAATTAAAATATCGAAAAATTGAAATCGAACAATTAAAAAAATCCGAAAACTGAAACATCCAAAAATCGAAATATTAAAACTTTCCAAACCTGAAAAACCGAAAAATTGAAATATCGAGATGTCTTGAAATTGAAACATCGAAATTTTGGAAAATCGAGAAATGGAAAAATGTCGAAAAAATGAAAATTGAAACATTGAAAATTTGAAAAACCGAAAAGCCGAAAGATCGAAGAAGCGAGAAATTGAAAAATTGACAAATCGGGAAATCGAAAAACTGAAGAACCAAAAAACTAAAATTGAAAACCTGAAAAATTTTAAACTGTGGAAAAAAATCGAAAGATCGAGAAATCGAGGAAACGAAAAATATCGAAAATTTAACAAATCGAAAAATCCCAAAATTAAAATATCGAAAAACTGAAACATGAAAATATCGAGAAATTAAGAAAATTGAAAAATCGAGAAGTCGAAAAATTGTAAAATCGAAAAATCAAAAATTTTGCAAATCGAAAAAATGAAAAACCGAAAAGTTTGAATTCGAGAAGTCGTTAAATCCAATGATTAAAAAAATTGAAAAATTTGAAATTTAAGTTCGTAAAATTAAGAAATAGAAAAGTCGAAGAATCGAAAAATCGAGAAAACGAATTAAAATGTCGGAAAATTGAAAAATCGCGAAATCGAAGCATAAAAAAAATGGAAAAATTGAAACATTTTAAATTGAAAAACCTAAAATTTAAAAAATCGAGAAAAACGAAAAATCGAGATATCGCGAAATCGAAGAATCGAAATCTGAAGTATCGAAAAATTGATAAATCGTAAAACTGAAAGATCGAAAAATTGAAGAATCAAAAAATGGAAAATCTAAAATTTAAAAAAATCAAAAAAATGAATAATCAGAATTGATCAATCGATAATCGAAATGTCGAAATCTTGACTAATCGAAAAACCAAAAATCTAAAAAATTGAAAAATCGAAAAACCAAAAATTTTAAAAAACGAAACTCAAAAAAAAAAATGAAAAATAGAAAAATCGAAGAACTGAAAAACTGAGAAATCCAGGAAACGAAAAATTAAAACATCGACAAATTGAAAAATCAAAAAATCGAATACATAATTGAAGAATCGAAATATTAAACCATGGAAAACCTGAAAACCAAAAACATCGAAAAATCGAGAAATCGGAAAACTGAAAAATTTCAAAACTGAAATGTCGAAAAAATGAAAATTGAAACATTAAAAATTTGAAGAAAAATCGAGAAATTGAAATCTCGACAAATGGAGAAATCGGAAAATTGAAGAACCAAAAAACTAAAATTGAAAACCCGAAAAATTTAAAACTAACAAATAAAATCGACAGATCGAGAAATCGAAACATCAAAACATTGAAAAATTCGAAAAATTGAAAAATCAAAGAACTGAAAAATCGAAAAATCGCATAATTGAAATATCCAAAAAGTGATAAATCGAATAATTGAAAAATCGAAAAAAACTGAACAATTGAAAAACTGAAAAATTCAGATATCGAGAAAGGGGTAAATCAAAAAATCGTAAAGCTGAAATGTATGTCGGAGAATTTTGAAATTGAAATATAAAAAAATTGAGAAATCGAAAAACTGAAAATTTGAAAATCGAATAATTGAAGATAAGAAAACTCAAAACTCCCAAAATTAAATTTTCAAAAAATTGTTAATACAATTTTTATTTATTTTTTTTTTTCAAAAATCTCGAAGTCAAGTTCAGAATTGTGTCACTTTTTAACATTTGAATATTAATCCACTTGGTCTAAATACGATATTGTGTTTCCAGAGACTGTTCGAGAGTTCAGCCGACGACGAGAGCAGCCGCGCTTCCACCCCCGACGAGATGACGCCCAGTCTCTCCCAAAACCGCCAGTTCCCCGTCAGACAAGACCTTTGCGTTAGTTGTATAGCGGCCAAAGCCGCCGCAGCCTTATCCAGCAACCAAAGCAATAGCAAAGAAGCTTCCACTTCCGACGAGGAGAACGACTCATCGCAGGTGCTTTCGATAGACAGCTCGATGCAAGTGCGCGACGAGAAATGAACTCGTTTTTATAAAACCGCGGTAGTGAGCAGCAATAGTCGTTTGAACTGCCGAAACTTTGTGATATTACTTGTTTAGTTATAAGTTTTTATTTGTCCATTACGAATAAAGGGTGCTTTCCCGTACTAACAATCGGAACCGCGGCCGAGATCTCTGCGACATGTTGTAGATGTCGCACTTGCCGCGGTTCCCACTATTCCACTTTCCAAAGGATTCAACTCTGGCGAAGTCTTGTATGAAGCGACGTGCTTAATTTCATTTGTACAAAGTTGAAGCTACGACTGAATTACTCGTTACGTTCTTAATCTGTAATCGTACCAATTTAATCGCTTCCAGATGTCTCGACAACATTTGTACGGGTTTTTGAGGTTAGGAGGCGGGGTTTGGCCGCGTCGAGGCGGAGTTTAGATGACGCACGAGTACAAATGTTTTCTATTTATAATATCCCAACGAATCTTACTCTAGTGAAACAAATCTTAATAATGTTGTGCCTTGTAGATATCTACTTGTGATGATCAGATGTCCCACACTGAGGGTGTGCGAGCGGATATTTTATATAACGGTGCGTCACCTGTTTTTATATTATTTATCTGTGATTGTCGTTGTTTGATGGGGCATCTTAAGTTTTGACTTAATTTGAATTTGTACAAACTTACGGCATGTACTTCATATGTTAATTTCGAGTTGTTTTTGCTTGTACATATTATGCTAAAACTGAAATTGACTGAATTAAATAATAGACAAGTATGATTGCTGTTTTATTTCATTGAACTATAGGGTTAATCTCACTCGGGAGGAGTTAAGTAAAAAACTGAAGATCAGGTATTGACTAGAAGGAAAATATATAAAAATATAATTTACATCACATTGGTTACTTAAAAACCCAGTGGCAGTACGGAAAAGGTTAACTTAGTTTAGAAACTGGAACAAAACCCAATCACTTCGTGAATATTGAAACTAGAAGTTATATAGAATTTGCGTTGTTGTTTGGTTTCTCTTACTACTATGTTTGTAATGGGGTGTTTCCCGATGATGATTTTTTTACCATATTCTTTGATGGTGAAGTGCTTCCACGACGGCACGTGGTAAAAATACACCTGAAATAATTGGACAAGAGGCGGAGCTAAAATCCACCAATTATGTTACAGTACTCACTATTCCCCTATCCACGCCCAGAACCAGAGTATTTCCATACAAACAAATACACGTAATCGTGCCATCTAAAACCTCAGTCGTGTTAAACAATTTTTTCGAGTATTTGGCACCTCCTTCCAACATAATCACCTCCATATATTCCTTATCTACCGAATTTTCAGACTTATCTGTAACACATCGTTACACTATCTCTTGATAGACCTACTTAACTTACACAACACAATTATTATATCATCCCGTAAAATAAGCGGGATTTGCTGCGACGTTACCGAATTCGGTATGCTGCTAAAATTGAGGAGACATTTCTCTGTGTAGATAGACGCCGGAAGTATATTTTTGGAATCATAATCGACTTTTCTAACCTCATTACTCACTAGAACTGTACATACGCCGTTCCACATGTTGATGCACGTGATATTTTTGGGCGAATAAACCCGTGCGAACCACGTCTCCTCCAACAATCTGTCATTGTTAGCGTTGGTTAGTTTCTCGACGGTGAGCCGCCCGCCGTGTTTTTGGTAGCAAATATAGTCTTTATAAATGCTGCAATTGTGAGAGCCAACTCTGAACAAGAAGTTTTTCGGAATGAGTTTTGTTGTGTATGCGACTAACAATGCACGTGTATTGTTGGTTGCATACACACAGTTGTGAATTTAAAAATTAAATCACCTGTGAGACATCACATCCTCTATAATTAAATGGTTGTAGCCGTCCCCGTACAAGTCGTCTACGATCAGTGCTTTCGGGTACGCGGTAACAATTTTCAAAATCGAGTCTACAAAGAAAATTTGTATGAAATGGTTGCTGCAATAATCATAATACCACTGTAAAAAAACGTCACTTTTGCGACTTTTTCGGCCTGGTGGCGCGTCATTATCAGAGGTTTCCAGTACTCGTCGTAAATCCGCACCCTGCCGTCCTCCGACCCCACAGCAATGAACTCCTCTGCAATGACACCAAGCAGTGATTGTTTGTTTCTTAACACTAAAAATACCAAAAACGTCAATACAAGTTATCCTGGGGATTTCAGCGGGACTCAGGACTATTTCAAACTCGACCTCTGCTATATTCTGCCAAGTCATCCAGTTCTTATAAATAAAAAACCATATGCTGGGGTCATCCCTATTGTAGTGGATTAAATACTGTGTCAGCTCTTTTTTCGGAATTTCTTCAAGGCAGCACCATTCCCACAGCGCCGTTTTCTGTTTCGAACAAAGAAAAGTTGCCGCATTGTTGCGAAAACACACAATACTCACTTTGGAGAGATACTCCACCAGGGTCCTCCACTGCCTGCACACCCGTCGCGCTGCCAGCAAAGTCCTCCCATCGCAGTTGATTAAAATTTTTTCCACGATTTCTGGCGGCAAAGCCATTTGTTTTCATTTATAAACTAACTTTTCAACTTCGGGTGGTTAAAAATAACCTCTACTTATGTTCCGTCATTTTATTTTTTGTTTTGGTTGTCAAGTCAGCGCGGTTGGTAAAGCAGGGAGCTGCGTGTCGCTGTCAACCACACTATTGTTACCTACACACCGAAAAAAACAACAAAACTTTAAAACTCGAGTCAGATAACTCGCACGCGTTTTTAGTTACAATTCTAGTCATAATCGATACATTTTTGATTTATTTATAGTTTGTTTGTCGGGTCGGTATTGCAGGGGTCTGTCACGCTACTAGTTGACAGTTGATTCAAATATGTCGCGCATGAGTACTCCTTCTCCGTAATCCACAGGTTGTTTTTTCCTCGACTTGTATTCAATCGGTTGTCTTTGAGAGTGTGGGATGCGCTTCTCCGAGACGGTGCGGTAATTCGTCGTTCCTGTGTGTTTCATGCTAGTGTTGTGTTATCAAGTGATTCGGTGTGTGAAAGTCCGAGAGACACCATGGGGGTCGGCTTACCTCCTCTGGAATTCACCGAGTGCATGACTGACAGTCCATATTTTCGCGAAAACCTGCACAAGCACGAGCGCGAATTGGAAAAAACCAACCAACAAATCAAGAGGATCATCAAAGAAGTGAAAGATGTGCTCAACACGGCCAAACGTGAGTCGATTCCGTCATTACGTGATTATAGCCGCCCCCACGTGCTCCCCCGACGTTTAAGGCCCCCGGAGTCTTATCCGTCACGAGTGGCTTTGATAAACGCCTTTCATGTATCAAAGTCGAGCCAATTTGTCCCCTGTTCACTGGATGTTTACTCTTGAAAGTAATCCCTTGATAAACCGCGGGGGCGGTTTTTGAGTCAATTGAAATGGTAAATTTTACCAACAATGCAGCCATAAATCGACCATGAATCACTGGCCTTGCAATTATTGCTATGGGATTTTTGCGTAATTGTGATTGGGTTTTGGCGGTTTTTAAACCCATGATGGGTCTCGTTGTCGGTTAGGAGCGGTCCGAATTAAGCCATCGCCGCAATTTACATTGTTTATGGCGTGCTTGACACGAAAATTGAATTCAAATTATTATATGTCAGAATTTATTTTCAACGCGGATTCATAAACTACCAGTAGAGGCCGTTCGAGTTTTTGCAAGCCAATTAGGCCCGACCCAATTAAAAACGTCCTCTTGATTTATTAATTGTTTCGCCGCCTCCGCAATTATCGCCGATCGATGCTCACCCCGTTCTCGCCCAACAATAATTTCGCTTTAAATGGCTAAATTATGCAAGCGCGCATTGCTGACAGATGATGCGTCGTCAGAACAATATGATACCACAACGATAAGACATAAAGACTGTTTGCTCGAAACAACACCATATATCATTGGAATTCCTGCATGCGCCACAAACAAAACCTCTCTTTATCGGTTATCGCAACAATGTCGACGTGGAATATGAAAGAGCGTAATTAATTTAATAATTATGAATCCGAGAGTCGTCGGGTTTGATGACAATTGCACTTTTACTAGGTGCAAAATGGAGTGAAAGTCGGACCGGATTCGAAATATAGTTAGACAACTTTTACTCGCGAATTCGTTATTATTGATATGGGGATTTAAGACAACTAGGCGCGATTTCTTCCATAGTCAAGGTCCGCGCTCACCTGGATATTAAGCGAGCCACGTTCGTTCCACAATTATTCAATGACAAATGTCTATAACCGATATGGAAGCAAACACCGCCAGCATCCTAATCGTTGTGAGGCGGCGAACGTCAAACAATGAAGTTTCAGAGTCCAACCGGATTAATCTCTTGTGTGTGTAATTTACAGGAGAGATGGCTTTGGGTTGCGTCACGTACGGGCTTTTCTTCGTGTTAGCATCGGGCGATTGTTGTTTAATTAAAGACCTTGAGTTTGTACGGTGTTGGGACATGAAATGGAGTCGTTAGAAAGAGGATTTGAAGCCTTTGCTTTGAATCGATGAGGCCGAAATGGGCTTTGTAAGGTGAGACTAATGGGTTGAGTAATCGAGACGGGTACTCCCCTCTGGAGGGATTAGGCGGCTGTGGTGTGGTGATAATTGTGAAAAATTGGGCGGAGATTGATCGTCGGAAGTGCTCTCGATCATGAAGTGGGGTCCAACGAATTCAGCGTTTTGAGAAATTATATTTTTTTGCGATTTTTGGTTTCGCTTGAAATTTGCAATTCTTTGATTTTTTTATTTTTTTGTTTATTGGGTTTTTAGGTTTTCAAGTTTAAGTTTTTCAGTTTTTCAATTTTTAGATTTTGCAATTTTTCTATTTGAGTTTCTTGAGTTTTCAAGTGTTTATTTTTCGGTTTGGAATTAATGTTCTGATTTTATTTTTTTTCAGTGTGAAGTTTTTCCATTTTTCAACTTGTAGATTCTTATCTGCAGTTTTTCTAGTTTTCATTTTAAATGTGTAATAACAATATTCTTAAAAATTTTCACTTTTTCGATTTTACGATTCTTCACTCTTTCAATCTTACGATTTTTGAATTTTTCCATTTTTAATTATTACTGGATTTTAAAAATTTTCCATGTCTTCAAATTTTCGATTTGGTTTTTTATTCTCTTTATTTTTACAACCTTTCCATTTTTCAATGCTCCAATTTGATATATTTTTTTTAATTTTTATTTTTTTTCAGTTTTTCGTTTCTTCAATTTTTCCATTAACAATTTTTCAATTTTTGGATTTTACAATTTTCTGATTTGCAATCAGTGTTTCGATTTTTCCACTTGTCGTTTCTTCGATTTTGGATTTTTCACTTTCATGATTTTTCAATTTTTTATTTTCTGGTTTTTACTTAAATTTTTCAATTAATTCTAGAATTTTAACGATTCTGTGATTTTTCGATTTTATAATTTTTGGGTTTTCCAATTTTTCGGTTGGATTTGTTTTTTCCATTTTTTCGATTAATTATTTATTTTGCGGTTATTGATTTTTAGTTTTAAATGTTTCAATTTTTCATTTCTTCATTCTCCGATTTTGCATTTTTCGTTTTTTCAATTTTTGGACTTTTCAGTTTTTCATTTCTTCAAATTTTCTATTTGAAATTTTTCATTTCCTTTTTTATTTTTTCAATGATTCGATTTTTCAGTTGTTCAGTGTTTCTGTGTGAAATATTCCAATATTATTTCAATTTTAAAATTTTCAGTTTCATGTTTTTTCAATTTTTTACTTCTTCAATTTTTGATTTGCATTTTTTCTAGTTTTAAGTTAATAATAATTAAAAAAAAAAAAACACTTTCAGTTTTCCAATTTACAATTTTTTGGTTATCAGTACATACATATTTCGATTTTTCCACTTTTAGGTTATTTATTTTTCGTTCCTTCGATTTTGATTTTTCAATTTTTGATTTTCTAGTTTTTAAAAATTTTCACTTTTTCAATTTTTAATTTTAGAATGTTTATATTTTCTGTTCTTGGATTTTAAAACTTTTATATCCATTCGATTTTTAAACTTTTCAATTAATTCTAGAATTTTGATGATTCTATGATTTTTCGATTTTATAATTTTTTTCCAATTTTTATTTTAGGTTGTTAAGTTTCTTGATTTTCTGTTTTTAATGTTTCAATTTTTCGTTTCTTCAGTTCTTCGATTTGCAGTTTTGCGATTTTCCACTTTTCCGATTTTGCATTTTTCGTTTTCTTAATTTTTGGACTTTTCAATTTTTCATTTCTTCAAATTTTCGATTTGAAATTTTTCATTTCGTTTTTTTATTTTTTCAATTTTTCAGTTGTTCAGTGTTTCTGTGTGAAATATTCCAATGTATTTCAATTTTAAATTTTTCAGTTTCATATTTTTTCAATTTTTTACTTCAATTTTTGATTTGCAATTTTTCTAGTTTTAAGGTTAAATAATAATAATAATAATAATTAAAAAAAAATGACTTTTTCAGTTTTCCGATTTGCAATTTTTTGGTTATCAGTATTTCGATTTTTCCACTTTTAGGTTATTTATTTTTCGTTCCTTCGATTTTGATTTTTCAGTTTCATGATTTTTCAATTTTTGATTTTCTAGTTTTTATTTAAAATATATAATCATAATTTTTAAAAATTTTCACTTTTTCAATTTTTAATTTTAGAATGTTTATATTTTCTGTTCTTGGATTTTAAAACTTTTATATTTATTCGATTTTTCAACTTTTCAATTAGGTAATTCTAGAATTTTGATGATTGTATGATTTTTCGATTTTATAATTTTTGGGTTTTCCAATTTTTAGGTTGTTGAATTTCTTGATTTTTAGTTTTTAATGTTTCAATTTTTCGTTTCTTCAGTTCTTCGATTTGCAATTTTGCCAGTTTCCACTTTTCCGATTTTGCATTTTTCGTTTTTTCAATTTTTGGACTTTTCAATTTTTATTTTTCAATTTTTCATTTTTCCAAATTTTCGATTTCCAATTTTTTATTTCGTTTTTTTTCTTTTTTTCAATTATTCGATTTTTCAGTTGTTCAATGTTTCTGATTTTATAATTTTTCTGTGCGAAATATTCCAAAGTTATTTCAATTTTAGATTTTTTAGTTTCATGATTTTTCAATTTTTGATTTTACTAGTTTTTATTTAAAATATCTAAGTAATCATGAATTTTAAAAATTTTCAATTTTTCAGTTTTTGATTTTAGAATTTTTATATTTTCTGTTATTGGATTTTAAAACTTTTATATTTATTCGATTTTTCAACTTTTCAATTAATTCTAGAATTTTGATGATTCTATGATTTTTCAGTTTCATAATTTTTGGGTTTTCCAATTTTTCGGTTAAATTTCTAGATTTTTAGTTTTTAATGTTTCAATTTTTCGTTTTTTCAGTTCTTCGATTTGCAATTTTGCGATTTTACACTTTTCCGATTTTGCATTTTCATTTTTTCAATTTTTATTTTTCAATTTTTCATTTCGTTTTTTTATTTTTTCAGTTATTCGATTTTTCAGTTGTTCAGTGTTTCTGGTTTTATAATTTTTCTGTGCGAAATATTCCAATATTATTTCAGTTTTAGATTTTCATTTTCATGATTTTTCAATTTTTGGTTTTCTAGTTTTTGTTTAAAATATGTAATCATAATTTTAAAAATTTTCAGTTTTTCAGTTTTTCTGTTATTGGATTTTAAAACTTATATTTATTCGATTTTTCAATTTTTCGATTAATTGTAGAATTTTGACGATTCTATATATAATTTTTCGATTTTATAATTTTTGGCTTTTCCAATTTTTCGGTTGGATTCGTTTTTTTCCATTTTTTCGATTCATTATTTGGTTTTTGGTTTTTAATGTTTCAATTTTTCATTTCTTCAGTTCTTCGATTTGAAATTTTACGTTTTTCCACTTTTTCAATTTTTCATTTCTTCAAATTTTCGATGTGCAATTTTTCATTTCGTTTTTTTTTATTTTTTCAATTTAAGATTTTTCAGTTTCATGATTTTTCAATTTTTTACTTATTCAGTTTTTGATTTGCGATTTTTCTAGTTTTAAGTTTAAATAATAATAATAAATAAATAAATAAATAAATAAAGTTTATTGCCCAACAGAAGTACACATTCCAGTTACAGGACAATTATAAAGAATATAAAAACAATGACAACAATTCAGAATCAAAGAAAATAACAAATTAATAAATTAAATGCATAAATAATCAAAGATCTCAA